CGCGCTGCCGTAGTCGCACTGCGGTGGCTGCACCGCGTTCTTCTCCCGTAGCAAGACGGCGATGATTTCGCGCCCGCCGCTCATCCAGTACGCCCGGCCCATCAGCACATCCTTAGGCGACGTGTAGTCGAACAGGCCAGCGTAGGGCGATGACGGCTGCGGACTGTTTTGTGCCGCGCCCGGTGCCGTGGCATCCTGCCGTGGTGCTGCAGGTGCACTCTGAGCTTGTACGGCTGTTGCTGCTGTTAATGCCGCCGCCGCTGCAGCGGATTGAACAATACTAGTTACACCGCGTGCATCATTCTGTACTACTGCTTTCGCTGCTGGTTGTGCTGCTGCTGCTGCTGTGTGTGTTGCTGCTGCTGTTTGTGTTGCTGCTGCTGCCGCTGCTCGTGCATCAGGCTGTACAGTTACTTGATCTGATGAACTAGATGCCCGTACAACACCAGTTCCTGCCCGTGCAGAACTTGCAGCAGGCAAGCTTGCCGCGACTTGATTTTTCCTCACTGCCGCACCTTGTGCCGCCGGCAACACCGGGTGAACAGCCGATGAGATGTGCCCAATAGCTCCACGATGCGACAAGATCGTCAGAAAAAATAAGATGCCAACACCGATGCCGACGCAGTATTTGAGAAATCGTCCGCTTCTCATGGTTCACGAACCTCCCTCTCTGTCTGTCTCAATGAGCTCCAGCTTAGACGGTGCGTCAGAATCTATGACTCTGGGAAGAAGACGATAGCATACTGCCAAAACAAAACAATCAAACCATGATGAACATGTTTTTTTCATTTTTTTTCATTTCGGTTTTCCACATGCACGATCGATCGAGCCTGATCCGGCAAGGCTGCTTGTTGTTTTCAGCTGTTTTCTCTGTCTGTTTTTTGGCGTGTACCGTACTAGCACTACAGTCAGTTTCAAAAAGATTAGCAATCCTGGTGATCGCCCGGGGAGTTTGCCGTCTTACCGTATGAGCGCTCGAGCGCTGCCTGGAAAAACTCACTGTGAACTCGAAGAAATAATTATTCCGCGCGAAAGCATGAAAAATGACGACTCACTCAGGTCGATGTCGGTACAGTCGTGTACGTCTGGTTCACAACAAACGAGTTCTTCCTCGTATCGATTATGGAGTCAGAGAGGACATGTCGAAAGTGTAGTAAATGCCAAGGCTGACGAGCGGCATGGGTCCCAATATGTTTTGTGACCAAAATAGTTTCTTTGAGCTGCGATGCTATTTACTCTCACCATGTGACGAAAACGACATCGACACAGACTCATTCCCAAGGCCATGACTTGGCGAAGCTATCCGTATGACTTCGACAACAGTTTGAGAAAAGCAGACGCCTGTGGAAGCTGATAGAAGACGGCGTTGACTTCTAAATTCAAATAAATTGGCGATCTTGAAATACTAAAATAATTCTCAAAAAGAAATCGATCGATCGATGTGCCGGTGTATTCAACACGTAGCTACAGCGCAATGACTTCCGTATTCACTCACACCGTTTCAGTGTTGTGGGTGTGTTCACATGGCGTGAGCCAGTCAAGTGTCAGTCAGTTCGGGAGGAAGCGGGAGCTCCAACAACAACAATCGTGAACAACTACAAGTCTGCTTGATCACCAAAAAACAATGAAAAAAAGTGTGAGTTGAAGATAGGTTGGGATTTGAACTGACAACTTCATGGTCAGCAGACAGCATCCATAACCACAAGGCCAGAAAGGAACAGATAAATCGTGGGTTTTGATAGAAAAATCGATACTGGCTTCCAGGGCAAATTGCAAACCATGGGAAAAGGCCGGAAACCTGGCCGAAATTCTAACTCCTTAACGGCTGGTCCAATAGGGCTTGAAAGTGCTACGTCACAGCATAGCAATGGCATAGCAACAATTTGAAAAATTCAAAAATTGGATCCACCTGGATCCAGTTTTTGTATGGATCCAAGCACATTTCAAGCGGTATTACTCACAGCAAGGTGATGTAGCCAGTGAAACTGGCTGATTTGGCTAGTGGGGGCGGGGTGACAACTGGTGACGAAGTAAAAGTCACGTCTGCATAAGATATGAGTGGGTTGCTATGCACCCCCATACTAAGGCAATAGCAAAGTCACACCTTAGTGGATCCAAAATAGAAATCTGATGTCAACTTACTACTCCCAGGCCGTTTTTGACGTCATCACTTTCGAGCCCTATTGTTCTGAAACCTTCACAGAACAATTTGCCGTGCCCTAACCAGCCCTTTTATGTACTTCGTTGTCCAATTTCCCCTTATCTTCATACTTTTTAAGACCAAAACCTGATTGCTAATCTTTTTGAAACAGACTATAGTACTACGAGTCCGACTCGACTGATACCGGTATGTACGACGTAGATCAGGTCTGTGCACAAAGTCAAGTCAAGTGTGGACGTAGATCTACGGAGGCCCCGGTCACACCGAAACAAGCCACTTTGGGCTTGTTATCGCTGGCGCTCAGCTGGCTTGCGTGGTCCCTGTGACGCGGTCACACCA